AACTCAAAAAACAGGATTTGGGGCTGGAAAACAACTCAGAAAACAAGATTTGGGGCTTGAAAACAACCTGCAGGAACTAAGCATATAGATAGGCGAGCGGAAATTAGTCAAAACAGACAGGCCGAGCAAGGCCTTCGGTGTTCTGCCAGGCAAGAGAAAAAGATAAGGGCCGCTCAAGGAAAGCGAAACCAGTTTCTGAGTGCTTGGAAAGGCTTAAAAGTTCCAAGCATGGAAAATACAGTCAGATGAAGCATCGTTTAGTTCTTGTCCTCGACGTAGAGAAGCCTTGCTTGGAAAATTCATGCTTAAAAGATTTCTTGTTTCCTGGTCTGGGTTTTGTCTCTTGGGATTACCTGCTCATGACTTGGATCAACGTTTCCTGTTTCTTTGGATTTTGTTAAAGAGTTGTGGACTTTATTTTTTGGCATTGCTGAACTCTACCTTGGACTGATTTGTTCCTGCTTATCTTCTTACCTAATTGGATTTACCTATTTCTTTAAAGTGTTTGTCTTGACTTTGCTGTTTTTACTTAACTTCAATAAAAGGATTGTTTTCCTATTCAACGTGTGGTGTTTTACAGTCAGAGGGTTATTCCTGTCCTGGACTGCAACCCTCACCCACATCTGGGCCCCTCTCTGGAATGTGGCCTTCATGAGAGACTGGGCGCAGAGACCACTCCGTTTCAGGGCTTAAAATCTCCTGCCAACTTGCAGGCCCAGAATCCCCAGAGACATTGAAGGATGAACTACAACAATTTCCTAGAAAGAGGACCTAGAAAATTCCCAGGGAAAAAAATACAATGTTCTCTCTGGTCTCAGCAGCCTGTGTGACACCCACAAAAGTGGGTCCTGGATCCTCACCATTTCCACCCAGGTGCCTCCAACAGGGATGAAACGCCCTTCTTTGGCAAAATGTTGAATCGCAGTATACAATCCAGGATACCACGTCTTCACCCATTCAAACTGCTGGGCCTGGAGGGAAGACGGCCGCCAAAAGTAACGCGTACATAATCTCAGTAAGACTCCACTTCACCCACCCGAAATGCGCCAACCCTTTAAGCTAAGAAATCATCCAAGTCACGCTGAATCACTTTCCCATACAATGCGCTTTGAATAAATTTACAATTGCCTCTCCATATTTACAGATTCAACTTTTGCAGATTTGACTCAGTAAGACTCCACTTCACCCACCCGAAATGCACCAACCCTTTAAGCTAAGAAATCATCCAAGTCACGCTGAATCACTTTCCCATACAATGCGCTTTGAATAAATTTACAATTGCCTCTCCATATTTACAGATTCAACTTTTGCAGATTTGATTCAAAGGGTGCCTAGAGGAATCTCTAGTGTAGAAGTTTCTAGCACAACTATGAGCACTGAATTGCACGGCAGGATCGAGAGGTTCACAGAACAACGCTCCCTAGGAATTTCAAGTCATTTCTTATTCCCATTTCCCCCACTTTTGCAGGGTCCTGCAGCCCTAACGTCAATCAATGTTGATGGCTGACTATAACTATGAAGTTGCTGTGAGTTTTCTGGGCTGTCTGGCCATGTTCCAGAAGCATTCTCTCCTGACGTTTTGCCCACAACTTTGGCAGGCATCCTCACAGGTTGAGGGGTCTGTTGGAAACTAGCAGAGTTTTTTCTCCCACCCTGGGCATCATTCCACAGATATATAAACCCCACTTGCCTTGTTTCCAACAGACTACACAACCTTTGAGAATGCCTCCCATAGAAGTGGGTGAAACGTCAGGAGAGAATGCTTCTGGAACATGGCCAGACAATCCAGAAAACTCAGAGCAACCCGTTTTTTGGGGGTTGTCGTGTCAGGAGCGACCTGAGAAACTGCAAGTCGCTTCTGGTGTGAGAGAATTGGCCGTCTGCAAGGACGTTGCCCAGGGGATGCCTGGATGATTTATCATCCTTGTGGGAGGCTTCTCTCATGCCCCCGCATGAGGAGTTGGAGCTGATAGAGGGAGCTCATCTGCCTCTCCCCGGATTCGAACCTGCGACCTGTCTGTCTTCAGTGGGTTTAACCCACTGCGCCACTGGGGCCCCAGGTGATTCCAGACAAGAACGCCTTCAACAATACATATAATTAAGGGTACAACATTTGACTAAATAAATCAATACATAGGGAAGGAATCTACGCTAATGGGGAAACAATTACCTGCTATTTGGACATTTTAATGGAATATGCCTAGAATTGATGGCACTACTGGGCTTGGCCTCATATAAGCCGCCCCGAGTCCCCTTTGGGGAGATGGTGGCAGGGTAGAAATAAAGATGATGATGATGATTATTATTATTATTATTTATTATTGATTCCAATCAGGGAATCTAGACCTGGTAATATGTGCGAAAGAGATCCTCTCCTACCCTTGAACCCTCTCTCTCTTGCATTCCATCCACAGTGAACTTCTCAATGTCATAGATAACATCTAAAAAGGCATAAAAGAGAGGCATTCCTACCTGTGAGCACACAAAGGTGAACTCTGGGTTTTTCTCCATGAGCCGAACAACCGTGATCCAGCTGCGAGCGCATTTACGAATCGTCTCCTCGTAAGGCCACAGCCAGGCTGAGATGAGAAGCGCAGGCTTCAGTTTGCTGTACTTATTATTATTATTATTATTATTATTATTATTATTATTAAATGTCAGGATATTATAGTTATTATTATTATTATTATTATTAAATGTCAGGATGCACAGCACTGGAAATAGTAAGCCGCCCCGAGTCCCCTTTGGGGAGATGGTGGCGGGGTATAAATAAAGATTATTATTATTATTGTTGTTGTTGTTATTATTAAATGTCAGGATATTATTATTATTATTATTATTAAATGTCAGGATATTATTATTATTATTATTATTAAATGTCAAGATGTACAGCACTGGAAATATAGAGAAAATTTAGAGAAAAACCACTCTGGCCTCTCCTTTTCCATCCTGAACCTTGTTCTCACTGGAAAACGATCCCTTGGCTTCAGTGAGCGCCCCCAAATCCGGTCCCCTATCCCCGATGTCTCTTCCCATTGTGCCGGTCCCTATCCTGAGCATTCCTCTCACCAGAATCAATGTGGCAGTGGCCCATGGCGTGGACGGTGTGCTGGCTCTCCCCATTCTTCTGCCTGAAGACTGAGCAGGCCACTTCGTGCACCGCAGGGAAGGTCGAAGGGTCGGTCACGTCGCAAAGGTTCACCATCCGATTGGCTGCGTAAAGGGCCTGGAAACTCCGCTGGTTCTCCTCCCCAAGCAGCTATGGAAGAAGGAATGACAATGGCAACCCGAGACAATGCAGAGCGTAAACATATCGGGGCCTCATCCAGCTGGGGTTCATGTGTTCTCCAACCCTCGGCTAATTCATTAGACCGCCTTCCATCTTACAGGACTACGCTCATCTTCATTGGGAGATCTTCCAAGACACAGGAAAGAGGGATTCCTGACGTTGCAAATAACAGCAAACCCTACATTTCATTTATACTAATTGTACCATACTAATTCTACTAGACTTGAGCTAGAGCAGGGTTTCACAACCTTCCTAATGCCACAACCCATTAACACAATTCCTCATGTTGTGTTGACCCCCCCAACCATAACATTATTTTTGTTGCTACTTCATAACTGTAATTTTGCCACTGTTATGAATTGTAATGTCAATATCTGATATGTATGATGCATTTTCATTCCCTGGATCAAATTTGGCACAAATCTCCAATACGCCCAAATATGAATACTGTGGGCAGGGAGGATTGATTTTGTCATTTGGGAGCTGTAGTTGCTGGGATTTATAGTTCACCTCCTATAATCCCTGTCTTTGGAACTCACTACCTGGTGAGATTAGGCAAACCCTGAAAGCCTGGCTCTTCCGTTGAGCCTATGGGGAGTGGCCACGTATCCCACTTCTGTTTGCCCTGTCTCTAGTGTTGCCCCTATGACGTACTTTCCCCTGCCCTCATCTGAAAGCCTTCCCCCACCGTTTTACTCCTCCTGGGCTCCCCTCACACTTTTTCTATTGTTTTTTTGAGTGATGGTCACTTGTTGGACTGTTAGGTGTCTTGTGTCCAAATTTGGTGTCAATTCGTCCAGTGGTTTTTGAGTTCTGTTAATCCCACAAACGAACATTAAATTTTTATTTATATAGATTATTGTTGTTGTTGTTGTTGTCTGGAATATATGGCAATGTGGAAGGGACCTGAGCTCACAAAATGCATCTTTATTAGATATTGATTAGTCCTCTGACCATATTAACAGTAAAAGACAAAAGACACGTAAACAGAGACACAATAAACACTAATCCCATCCTAATGCTCCTGTAATAGTTAGCTAAATTACATGCTAGTTAGAGATGACAGGAGTTGGAGTCCAGCACCCTCCCAAGGGCCTGGGGGGGGGGGGGGGACTCCTGGGACAAATAATAATAGTAATAAAAATAATAATAAAAATAATAATAATAATAATAATCTTTATTTATACCCCGCCACCATCTCCCCGGTGGGGACTCGGAGTGGCTTACATGGGGCCAAGCCCGGACAACATATTACAGCAAAATAAAACCAAAACATAAACAACAAGCAACATCATCAAAATTGCATAGGGAAAAAATAAAATAAAATAAAATAAAATCTCTCCTGCAGTTGCCAATAAAAGAGCCCGAAATGCAAATTGCACCTTGGCCATGTCGAGAAGGTTCTCCAAGTCGAGCAGGAGTTGGTGGACATCCCTGTTGTAGACCGCCAGCTCCGCTCTGCGCAAGGAGAACGTCTTGCTCGGATCCGGGGGTGCAATCACGCTCTCCTTGCCAGCTCCAAAGAGACCGTTGCAGGCCACCTCCATGTACAACGTCAAGCTGCAAATGGGGGGGGGGGGGGGGGGGTGACAGTCAGCAACCCTCCTTCCTCTGCTTGAGACCACTTTCCCCAACCAGCCGCCCTCAAACGGTATTGAGATTGCAGTTGTGCTGCTGTGTGCTTTCCAGGCAGATTTCTGACTTACAACAACAACAACAACACTTTATTTATATACCGCTCTATCTCCCCGAGGGGTCTCAGAGCGGTTTCCAAGTAACATCATAAAGTAAGCAACATAAACATAAAATGAACAAGACAATATAAGCATACAAAATCACAATAACACATCTATATTTAAAATATTCCTGCCTGTTCAAGACTTACGGCACTCCAAGGCACACTAATCGCGGGGCTTTCTCAGCAAGAGAGGGCTTGCCTTTGCCTGCCCAAAGGTTGAAAGGAGATTCCACCTGAACATGAGGAAGAACTTCTTAGAGCTGTTCAGCAGTGGAACTCTCTGCCTCGGAGTCTGGTGGAAGCTCCATCCTTGGAAGCTTTAAAACAGAGGCTGGATGGCCATCTGTCACGGACACTTTGATTGTGCATGGTTGGACTACATGGCCCATGTGGTCTCTTCTAACTCTTAGGTTATTTATTATTTTACTCTGTTAATAGTATTATTTTCATTACATTTATTATTTTACTCTGTTAAAATTATTATTTTACTCTGTTGTACACGCTCTTGTCACATCCCGCCTGGATTACTGCAACGCTCTCTACGTGGGGCTGCCCCTGAAGACGGCCCGGAAGCTTCAGCTGGTTCAGCGTGCGGCAGCCATGTTACTAACTGGAGCGGGTGGCAGGGAGCATACAACGCCCTTGCTGTCCCAACTCCACTGGCTGCCGATCTGCTACCGGACCCAATTCAAGGTGCTGGTTTTGGCCTTTAAAGCCCTAAACGGTTCCGGCCCAAAATACCTTGCTGACCGCATCTTGGCCTACGAGCCCACGAGGACCTTGAGATCGTCTGGGGAGGCCCTTCTCTCGATCCCGCCTGCATCACAGGCACGGCTGGCGGGGACGAGGGAGAGGGCCTTCTCGGTGGTGGCCCCCCGGCTGTGGAACACTCTCCCGGCACACATCAGACAGGCGCCCTCCCTCATGTCCTTTCGAAAAAGCCTTAAGACCTGGCTGTTCGAGAGGGCATTTAATTAAGTGCTAGCAATGTCATTACGGTAATGAGAATTGGAATGGTATAAGGATGAGGAGACTGGCCTACGATTCTACTAAGAGACGAAGCGGATTTTTATGTAGTTTGTATTTGTTGTATTGTGTGTATCGTGGATATTGGCTTTTGTAACTGTCTTTTTACGTGTACTGTACTGTACTGTACATGAGTCGCCCGTAAGGGCTGAGAATGGCGGTTAATAAGTGCATCAAATAAATAATTAATAAGTGCATCAAATAGTATTATTTTCATTACATTTATTATTTTACTCTATTATTATTATTACATTCACATTATTTTACTCTATTTATTATTATTATTACATTTCTTATTTTGCTTTATTATTGATATTATTACATTTATTATTATAATTATTATATTTACATTATTTTACTCTATTATTGTTACATTTATTGTTTTTCTCTTTATTATTAGTAGTATTATTACATTTATTATTTTACTTTATGAGGAAGAACTTCTCAGAGCTATTCAGCAGTGGAACTCTCTGCCTCGGAGTGCGGTGGAAGCTCCATCCTTGGAAGCTTTTAAACAGAGGCTTGATAGCCATCTGTCAGGGACACTTTGATTGTGCATGGTTAGACTAGATGGCCCATGTGGTCTCTTCCAACTCTTAGGTTATTTATTATTTTACTCTGTTATTAGTATTATTTTTATTACATTTATTATTTTACTCTATTATTATTATTATTATTATTATTACATTTCTTATTTTGCTTTATTGATATTATTTACATTATTTTACTCTATTATTGTTACATTTATTGTTTTACTCTTTATTATTATTACTATTACTACATTTATTATTTTAATTTATTATTGTTATTATTACATTTATTATTTTACTTTATGAGGAAGAACTTCTTAGAGCTGTTCAGCAGTGGAACTCTCTGCCTCGGAGTCCGGTGGAAGCTCCATCCTTCGAAGCTTTTAAACAGAGGCTGGATGGCCATCTGTCAGGGACGCTTTGATGGTGCTTGGTTGGACTACATGGCCCATGTGGTCTCTTCCAACTCTTAGGATTCTATGACTTTATGATTCTTTATCCGACATTCAGACCACGACAGCATATGATTGGTTCTTGGGACCGACCGCACTCTCGCACAAAATTAGCTCTTTCAATAGGTCTATATTTGAATCAAACCTGATGGGTTGGCGACCTCTCTCAGATGAGAAATATTTTATAAATACCTTTTCTTGGCCATAGTTTATTTGGGTTTTTTTTTAATACTGTTGCTATATTTTGTTTTAATTCCGCGGGACGGGGTGAGCTCCCGTCGTTAGCCCCAGCTTCTGCCAACCCAGCAGTTCGAAAACATGGAAATGTGAGTAGATAAATAGATACTGTTCCAGCGGGAAGGTAATGGTGCTCCATGCAGTCATGCTGGCCACATGACCTTGGAGGTGTCTATGGGCAACGCCGGCTCTTTGGCTTAGAAATGGAGATGACCACCAGAGTCCCAGAGTCGGACAC